TTTTCCCTCCTCCATAACTTACAAACTTGTGCGAGCATTACCTCGTTATTTTTTTGCCTCCCCACCCACACCCCTCTCACCCCCCACCCATGTACCTTCTTTTAGAAATTCATTACCTTCACAATTAATGTATTTTGCCTCATCTCTAACTGTCCATCAGGGCCTTGCACGCAGCTCGATGTTGGAAATCGTTTCCCCGATACTTGTTGTGGCAAGTACTGGCAGTGCGTCTCCCCAGGGGTGAGTAAAACATATCGCTACTGGATATTTTGGGGGTTTTTTTGGGGGGGGGGTTCTTTTCTTTTCAAAGGTGGTTGTTTTGTTGTTTTTTCCTTTGTTTTTTTTAGTAAGAGTTTTACGGCACTTGCAGTACAATACGGCCATATTAGTGGCGAAGATTAGAGGTGTTACAATGAGTAACAAACACATAAAAAAAGAAGTAGGGGGATAAGGCTGATATATGTTTGGTAGAAAAGAAGGAGCAAACCACACCAGAGCACCCGCCAGCCACCCACTGGTATTTTTTCGCCTTCATCGAGAAAGCTCTTGCTAAATGACCATTATTAGGTCGAAATGTGAGGCAGCGTTGTGGAATCAGGCTCTCGTCAAAATACTCAAAGTGAAGAAACTTTTTTCCAATTTTTGTTTTTTGACTCAACACCTTTCATGCCAATTAAAAAAACTCTTTTCTGTATGGATTTTTCTGAAAAGCGTTGATTAAAGGCACAAAAAATGTACATTTTCAGTTACCACGGACTCTTAAATTAGGAAATAACTAATTTTTGGAGGACATTTTCTCACTAATCTTATCTCTGAAAACAGGTGACCCCACCCCCTTCATTCGCAAATATCTCGACTTGTATTCAAGATAAATGGATATTTTTTTTCACGCAAATAAAGACAAATGAACAAACGTTAAGATGATACAAATAACTCTACGTGCCCAAAAGCTGACGAGAGCCTGATCCCACCACGCTGCCTTACAAATGTGTTTTTCTTTACTATACTCAAGCAAAGGACACAGCTCAGATTATTTATGAGAGATTTACCTCTAGAACCAGGCTACCCCCACCTCTTTTAATTAATAATAATAATAATAAATAGCATTTATACTGCACATTTCCATTTTCTAAAAGATGCTCAATACACATTACAACGAAAAAGACATCACATCTTAAAAATTAAAAGACAAGTGCGTACGTAAAACAACGTATTAAACATATAATATAAATGCATATCTGTAAAATTTTATATGAGAAAAATAGTCTCGCAGTGAGGTTGAAAATGTGTTCACTAAA